AATATTATATATAGCTTATTATATATATATATATATTCGACTATAAAAAAATGACTATATTAATAATATTTACATATAATATAATATACTAAATAATAATAAAATAATAATAATTCTATATAATAATATAATTCTCTATAATATACTAAATATACTAAATAATATATATATGTTTATAAAAATATTATTATTTAGTATATTAGTATATTATAGAGAATTATATTATTATATAGAGTTTATTATAGAGAATTATATTATTATATAGAGTTTATTACATAGAATTATTAGAATATTCTTGTTATATAGAATTATATCAATTATATAGAGAAAAAAAAAGAAAAAAAAATAATGGTATGCAGTTCGCGACGCAGCGGCGATGCAGCCTACGGTCAAGTTCACTCCGAGAAACACGTATCGCCCATAGCCGTAAAAAATCCCCACCACGGTCATTGACGCACATGCGAGTGCTCGTTCCAGTCTCCCATTGACTTCCTTTCCACAGCTCCGAAACATTGCCACGCATCACCGGCGAGCCGCGCGTGAAACACAAAAACTTCATGGCACACCGTTCACTCCATTAAATACAGTTAACTGGTAGAATTCTCCGGGACACTCCTTTCCTGCCGTCAAAGATAATTCGTACCTCGAACTGGTGGAGGTCGCACTGCGGACTATTCTTATCTTCGTTGTACAAGCGGCTTCTAAGTGGCGTCGGTATAATAATAAATTTCTAATTTCCGACCGATCGCCGATACTTCAACGATCGAATATTAGATAATTCTCGGACCGAGAATGACAAATATTCTGACAAATTTTCCTGCAAAATGCTCGGTGACAGAAACGCGTTTATCGTTCCAGTTGGAATTATTAATCGCGAATTATGGAAGAAATCGTTTACGAAAGCGAAAGAGAGCTTTTCAAATCAGCTTTCGGAAATTGCTGCATGGAAAACGGTTTTTTGGTTCGATAAATTCTGTTTAACAGATATTTGGAAAATACTGGTTTTTATAGTTATTAGTTGTTTTTACAGTCGATTAATCGTATCTCCTCTTCCAAAATTGCAATCCGAGCGTCTATTAGGGAGAATTTACCGTATAATTGTAAGACGCGCTGAAATACCTTTGTGCTTCAACCCTTTCCACTCGAACGGCGACTCTAAGGCGCCGTTAAAAATTGTTGTGTCACGTTTCAGAATAATTTTATTAATCGAATCTGCTCATATTTGAAGAACTGTTGAAACGATGACTGTTTGCATCTGTCAGAAAATTGCAGTGTGTCAGAAAAACTGTATTCAATTTTCTGGTAATTTGGCTCGGAGTGCAAAGGGTTGAACCTTATATTCTATTATCTTCTTTCTTAAGAAACACCTCTTTGACCATAAACCTGTACAATAATCGTTGGAAGTAATATTTTAATGTAATAGTAACGGCGAAGTTGGAAACCGCACGTTTCTCTTACGTAACGAGTCAACACTTCAGATTAATAGATAGCTTCGTTAGTTCGTTGAAAAGCGACGTATAGTATTTCCTGATACGAGAATTTGTTATTTAATTTATATCATCGATACGCAATAGTCGATTATTCGCACAGTGAACGATGATCTTTGCGTTTCTAGTAAAAGACGAAAATAGATGTTCGTATACGAGGTTGCATAAACTGATATTAAAACGGTGAAATGATAATTGGAACTATTTATATATTATATTATTATTTATTATAGCTACTGTTTTTATATTATATTATTATATGCATATTATATCTGCTATTTATATGTTATATTACTATATATTATATCACTATTTATATATTATACCTACTGTTTTTATATTATATTATTATTATTTTATATATATTATTATATTTACTATTTATGTGTTATGTTATATATTATATCACTATTTATATATTATATCTACTGTTTTTATATTATATTATTATATGCATATTATATCTACTATTTATATGTTGTATTACTATATTAATATATAGTGATATAATTATCACTATTTACATATTATATTATTAAATATTTATCTACTATTTATATATTAATATCCACAATATTTAAAGCATCAGTAAATTAAAATCGATGTCATCATTCGAATACGACCAACTACACTAATTTACGCTCATATACCAGTGAATTTGAGCACTTATTGATAGAATTTCAATTTAAACAAAACACAGTTTTGATAACAATACCGTCAGTAAATTAAAGATAATTCAAAAGTAACAAAATTCAATCAAATCTTAAAATCGTGCGAAACAAAACGTTTTCACACGAATCGCAAGAATCACATTTAAACGAGAACGTAATTTCTGTCAATCATTCTAATAAATCAAGAACAATATACAAAAGCGCCGATTTTCCCATGCTTTTCATTTTCTGCGTCGATTACGTACATTTTGAATGCATAAACGCCGCGGTCCACTCGCGACTCTCAAAGGTCCAAATATCCGCAGTCCATCCGACTGTCATAAGTGATTAATTATCTCCGAATGGCAACGTACACGCGTTTGCCCGACGGCGTTCTAACGGCAAGCGAACACTAAACCCCGACATTAATCAAAATGCAAAATAGGTCCGATTAGCATAACGAAATAATAAGTTCGCGTTGCTCGAAGAATTGTTCTTTTTTTTCCCGGTGAACCAAGACGGTTGACCAGATCCCCGTTAATAAACACATGAATATTTATCAACGTCGAAGCGTCGGTCGTGATGCAAGAAGAAGCTCGGCCGAAATGTCGTCGGC